ACAGCAACATCACAGAAAAACAAGAACATTACATTCATTCTTTCATTTTTAGACTTCTTGTTTAAAATTATTCTAATTCAAAGGTTTTCTCACTTTCCCCCAAATTTCATTGTTTTTGGTGTTTACAAGAGAATAACCAATCGCAAAAATATTTTTCAGCTTATCCTAAACTGTTGTTCTAACTCACCCTTTGTCTCAAACTATGAGGAAGAGTTTGAATAATTAATTAGGATTAAACATCTAAAGTAGGCTATTTATATCCTTGAGTCAAATACTGCTCACAACTATTAACCTTTGAAACACCATTTTTTTCCAGGACTTAATCTACAGAACCAACCTAATCAGTGTTCCTCTGTTATGCTTCGGTATCAACAATGCTTGTTTATATAACTACTTTTTGTACTATTATCATTCTACTAATAATACTGATTTTTAAATGTAGAGGAGTATAATAAAGATCACCCATAATTCCATGATGTTGTGAATAACTGTTAATTGTGTAGTATGCATTTTTATTTTTCTGTGATTTATAAGCTGAATGGGTTTATGTGATCTGTTTAGCTAATAGAGTAAGTAAACTCAGCGACTGAATAAATTGATAAAATTTCCTAAAGATAGTCACAAGAAAAAAAAAAAAAACTAAATGGAATGAAGAGCATATGTCTACTCATGACAGCTGTAGTCTTTTAAAAACATTTCCTTGGACATTTTTACACAAATACTTTAAGGTTAGAAAAAGAAATGCCAGGTTTAAAAGCAATCATTATAGAAACGGGTTCATGCGAATAGGATTACAGAAAACAAACATATAAAGACAACTGAAAACACACATGGTTCTACTTCAGTTCTCAATTTGATATGTACTTATCAGGCACATCTGATTAAACAATGAAGTCCCTGTTTGAAAAGCAAACCTAGCCAGGCTTGGTGGCTCAGCCTGTAATCCCGTGCCTTTGGGAGGCTGAGGTGAGTGGATCGCCTGAGCCCGCGAATTCGAGATCCACCTGGGCAGCGAAACCTCATCTCTACATAAATTAAAAAAAAATCAGCTGGGCGTGGTAGCGCATGCCTGTAATTCC